ACTATCTCATGAAAAGGGAGTTAGCCACCGACCATATGGAAGCAACCGTGATCAGATGAAGAGCTTGCTGCTACATTCTAGTTGAAGGAAAATTATACAGAAGGGGATTTTCCATTCCTCTCCTCAAATGCGTCGACCAGAGCGACGCAGCTCGCATCTTGCTCGAGATCTATGAGGGGATAAACGACCAACATTTGGGCGGAAGATCCCTCGCCAGGAAAGCTCCATGGGCAGGGTATTACTGGCCCATCATGCAACATGACTCCAAAGAGCACGTAAAGAAATGAGATAAATGCCAGCGGCACAAAGACACGCACTTGGCTCCTCCAAGCGAGCTCAAGTCCCTTTCTTCTCCCTGGCCCTTTGCCTGGTGGGGACTGGACCTCCTCGGACCATTCGTGGTAGGTACCAACCAAAACAAATACCTAATAGTAGTTTCGACTACTTCACCAAGTGGATAGAGGCAGAGGCATTGGCCAAAGTCACCGCCTAAAACATCCTTTGTTTCTACAAAAAAAACATCCTCGCTCTGTTCGGCATTCGCCAAGTAATTGTCACGGACAACAAAATCTAATTCACGGACCAAAACTTCCAGGAGTTCGTGGCCAACCTGGGCACCATACAACACTTCGCCTCTATCGAACACCCTCAGACAAACGGGCAAGCCGAGTCCACAAACAGGGTAATCATGAGAGGTCTCAGGTGAAGGTTGGATGAAAGTAAAAAAGAGATGGGTTGAGGAGCTACACAACATGCTCTAGGGGTATCAAACAACAACACACTCATCCACCGGGAGACTCCCTTCCGATTGACCTACGAGATAGAGATCGTCATCCCCGTCGAGATTGAAGAACCCTATAGGATAACTGAGGCTCCCCTAGACGAGGATATGAACAACGTCGTCCTACGGAAGGAACTAGATCTGGTCGAAGAAATCCTAACAAAGGAGGCCCTACGAGAGGCCTATCTCAAACAGAAAATTGCCATGTGATATGACACCAAAGTCATACGATAAGAGTTCGAAGTCGGCATACTTGTCCTAAAAAGAAATTGTAAAGATTCTCATAAAGGTAAGCTCTCCACAAACTGAGAAGGCCCTTACCACGTCATGAAAAACGGGAAACGAGGCCTACTACTTGGGAAACCTACACGGGGAACAACTTGCTCGACCTTGGAATACTGAAAAACTAAGGCAATATTAAAATTGAAACACTAAGCAGTCAGCAAGCTTCATCGACAAGACGAACTCATCCAAACCCGACCACACGTGCATGTCTAGGTACAAGCACGACACTCAAATTATTTGAAGGGGCAAGGCTCCACTCTTTTGTCGAGCAGATCCTTAGCCCGACATGGATAATTTGATCGAGCTCCATCATCATCGTACCACGCCAGGAGAATGCCCGACTCGCAATGGAAAGTCCGCGCTGTCGAGTTCGGGTCCTTGAAAATAGAACTGAGTTCTGGCCCATACTCGATATTCACCCTGGCCATTTGTTCGGTCTCCCCACACCGGCAAACTCACTAACTAACGAGCAAAACCCCATAAAAACTCTTAACCAATAAAAAATGTCTCAAGCAGATGAGCATACAATAAACATGCAAACACTTCAAAAAGAAAAGGCAACATAATCATGCACGAATTAAAGCAAATGACCACCACGGCCGAAAAATTAATGTACGACCATTAAGGCCGCAATTGTGAAAATTTTACAAAAAGGGAGCCCAAGGCCCCCGTCCAACAAAGTAATTATGTGGCCACGAAGACCACAATTGTTCGAAACTTAATCAAAACGGGCTAAAAACCAATAGAACAAATTATATCAATACGGCACGCATGCCTGGAAAGAGAAAGTAATAACAAAAAGAAGTTAAACATTGGGCTGGGGACCTTCCTCGACGACATGCTCTTAACGCGATGACTCTCCAACTGGCGCATACGACATCCTTGAGGAATTCAGGCATCACAATCTTCCTAACAGCCGCATAATAATGAAGCCCCATTCTAGCCGTGTTGAGCTCAATGCTAGAATTCAATACCCGTAGCTGCTTCACAGATTATCGAAACTCCCCTCGGTAACAACTTGGGCGTCATCCATCGCTAGTTGAAGGCGAGCTACTAGCTCAACACGAGTCTTCAGGCCTTGAACCTCTTCTGACTCATCCTCAGTAGGAGCTACTTGGGCCCTCATGGAAGCCACTTGTTTATCAGAAGCTCTCTTCTCGAGCACCAATGCCTTATACTCCCTAGTCAATTTCTCCAGGCGATCCTCTGCCACCTTTCGGGCGACCCTCGCCTCATCACGTTCTTTCTCGACATCGGCTAGCTTGGCCCGTAATTTCTTCATCTTGACTTCTTGAGAGGAGTCCCCTTCAGAAAAGCAACGACCATCTTCAAGACCCTCACAACGGCCCCTACATCTTGCGCTAAGGCAGTCCGCTTAGCCGGGCGATCCAGCTCCTCGAGCATAAGAGATTCACCCCGAAGGATATACAAGGAGGAACCTTCAAAGAACGACCTGTTGTGCCAGCAAGGAGGTAACTCATACCTCCCTTTCTCTTTATTTCCCATTAAATCAATATTGTCCTCGTTACGCTGCCTCTGAAACCTCGAAGACACTTGCGGAGGGAAAAGAGCACTGGCCGCCGGGCCCGTCAACGGATTTCCAGATCCCGACATAGGAGCCGTCCTCGTGTCAACCTGCGAAGCCTTAGCATTTTTCTCCACTTTCTTTGCCTTCGCAGAAAGACTCTTGGCCAAACGCTCCTGGGCAGAGTTCATCTTATCTGCAAAAAAATAACAAATTAAAATCAGCAAACAAGAGCAAAATGTCGGGCATACAAAGTTAGTCGAAACATAAACAAAAGAAGCTACCCAAGTACACGACATGGTCTCGAGGAGCTCCTTGACACCTATCAGACCCGGTTCATACACCACATCTCCGTCCTTGTCGGTGACCGGTCTGCATGCTGGACACGAGGGATCCCCGCGACAAAAGTGACTAAATGATCAAAGCTAGCCCGGTTCTCGGGACCCAACTGGTTCTTCTTCCAGACGTAAGAGTCAGTTCCCCTCTTGAAGTACCTCTTAGTCCACTGGAAAGGGGACTCAAACACAACGAGCGTCCCTCATACTCCCCAAACGAGCTCGACCCATAAGCACCCCCATTTAGTGGGCCAGTTCTAAGTAATCACTCTTATGCCCAAGAGCAACAGCTTGGGGAGCTTCTGCACTGGACTGGTCCAATGACTAGAAGTGGCCCAATTCGCTCCTACCCTTAGCACGACTCGATGACAATGGCCTAACACTTTGGTTGACTACGACGCCTGTCATCTGACTAGTTATGCCCGACATACACGCTTGACTAGATCAACGAGTGTCTTCTATCAGCCCGACACGAGTCAGGCACACACTCAGGCAACGACCATCTGCTCGTAATCCTCCTCCTCAAAACAAACGACTACTTACGAGCATACCTGCCTATTTTGACCCAGTCCTGACAATTACTTATTTTTGTGGACCCGCATATCTAGGTCTAAAAATAGGAAGAAATGGCTACGTGTTGGGGGAATATTATATAAACCCTCACATATGTGAGGGCTAGGTATTCACAGTCTCACACCTTAAACCCTAATATTCTGCTTGTATCTCTTTGCTCCCACACTTACTTGATCGTCAGAGTGCCTTGCAGGTACAACCCCCCTTTCTCCTCAACTTTTCAGCCAATCAAAGATCATCCTTCGGTCCACTTACAGGTTCTGATCAACCGGTTAGATCAATTATCAAATTGAATTTCAAATTATTTTTGAGTTTGTTCGATTCATTAATAATCATAGTCGTTTTGGACTGCCCATAAGGTCCAAAAAAGGTATGAAAACTTAATACAAGACAAACACGAAATGACAAGGAAAGGAATAGATGAACATCGTTTCATAAACCATTTAGGTGATCATAGACACAAAGTCCATTTCCACTGTCTAGATCCATCTAACAATCGATCACATTCCACATTTACACATGCATTTAGTTGTTAACAAACTCTTCTATCTAAAGAGATGATTGCGTCATTTCTCAGGTATTGAATTTCTTCACCATTCAAACAACATTCTCACTCTCTTATTGAATTGAGCGTTGAAATGTTAACGTCAGTGTTTTCTCCACCGCATCAGAATCTTAAACCGCCGCATCACAGTACCAATTCAACCACTCTGATTATCAGTTAGTTTCTAAGTGCATGTTTGGTTTGACTTTTGGAAGAGCTAAAAATAATTCTAGAGGTGTAGAATTGATTTTGGGTGATTTTGACATGTTTGATTATGCAAAAGTAGAATTGATTATGTCTCTAGAATTGATTTTACTTGAAGTTAGAATTTGTAGTTTCTACCTCCAGAATTGATTCTGAATGATTTTTACACTGAAATTTATTGTTCGACTCACTTTTACATAAATCAATTCTACTAAACTTAATTCTGATAAAATCAATTCTATCAAATTCAATTTTATTAGAATCAATTTTGCCTACCGTCAATTCAAAGATTCCTTAAACATATAATTAGAGCACCTATCCTAGTAATTACTAATCTCACATTAGGTTTAGAAGTTTATTGTGACACTTCTTCGAAGGGTTTAGGATGTACATTAATGCAAAACTATAAGGCTATTGCTTATGCTTTTAGGAAGCTTAGATCACATGAAAATAATTACCCATGAGGCTCTCTCTTTCTCCCTATGCGTGACATTTCAATTACTCAACTTATTTATTTATTTTTGGTAAAATAATTGGTTGAATTTTTATCCAAGTAAGTTTAAATAAGCAATCAACATATGGCCCAGTTGAAAAAGACACAACCAATGAGAATTGAATAAGAAACCGCAACGACAAGATTAAGTTTCATCCACAAATATCGCTCTTTGTTTCTTCGTTTGTTGTCACCACCAAGAACAAACAAAACTCAAACATTCATCCATTCATGTTAATCAACTACACACTCATTTCACAATGGAGCTCTTACACTTACACGCTTCCGATTTCCCCAATCGCCACCACTTCCTATCCAAAACCACCACCACCACCACCACCACTCACCAACGCCTCCTCTCCCTCTTCTTCCCCACCCGAACCACCCGCATCACCACCCTCCGGTACTCCTCCCCAAAAGCATGCACAGTAGAACTTCCCGTCGGAGAAAAGATGGTGATAAAACTCGTCGGTGCTTTCAACGACCTGACAGAGAGGATGAAGGTGTTGTCCACAAGTTCCTCTGGCCTTGTCTTCAAATCACTGAAACTATCTATTCCCGTTCTTCAAGCTTCCCCTCTTACTCCTGATGGTCGTTCTCCTCTCTCCAAAGCCTTATCCATTGCCGTACTTCTAGCTGATCTTCAGGTACTACTCTTCCTCTTCCTCACCCTCACTCACTGTCACTTCTATCCGTTTCACATGTTTAGATAGTTGATTTTGCACTCAGAATTGATTCTAACTTAAAGCCAGAGAACTCCTAGAGAATTGTCGTGATTTCATTGCTGTTTATTGTTTCTTTATAGTAAATGTCATTGCAGATGGATGCAGAAGTTATATCAGCTGGAATTCTGAGACAAGTGTTGGAAGTACGTGGCTTAAGTCTACATGAAATTCGAAACCGGATAGGTTCTTCCACGGCTCATTTAGTGCACGAGAGTTTGCGTGTTAACAACTTTGCGTCTAGAGTAGATATTCTGGATGATGAGAATGCTGCTACTTTGAGAAAGTTTTGTCTGACTTACTATGATATCAGGGCTTTGATTTTGGACTTGGTTTTGAAGCTTGATATGATGAGACATATTGGTCATCTTCCGAGGTATCAGCAGCAGATACTTTCTTTGCAAGTTATGAAAATATATGCCCCTCTTGCTTATGCTGTGGGAACTAACTACTTATCGCTTGAATTGGAAGATCTCTCGTTTCGGTATTTGTTTCCTTATTCGTATCTTTATGTGGATACGTGGTTGAGAAGTCAGGAGACCGGAGGTATATCAATTATTGACATATACATGGAGAAACTGCTTCAGTCATTAAATTCCGATCCCTTACTCACGGAATTGGTGGATGATATCTCAGTTAAAGGTCGCTATAAAAGTCGTTACAGCACAATGAAGAAGCTTTTGAAGGATGGTCGAAGGCCAGAAGATGTGAATGACGTGCTTGGGCTACGGGTGGTGTTGAATCCTAAGCATGGAAGTAATGCATTAGAAGATGGAGAAAGAGCATGCTACAGGGCTCATAAGATCATTCAATCTATGTGGAAAGAAATCCCTTCTCGGACTAAAGATTATATTGCTAGGCCAAAAGGGAATGGATACAAAAGTTTGCATATGGCGGTGGATGTAAGCGACATTGGGAGGACTAGACCCTTGATGGAAATACAGATAAGAACAACCGAAATGGATAGGTTAGCTGTTGGTGGAGTGGCATCTCATTCGTTATACAAGGCTGGTCTTACTGATCCCGAGGAGGTTAGTGTTGTCTTTTAAAACTAAAATATCCATAAACTATTCCTAAAAGACAACAAAGAAGGAAACTGACATTTATTGTTTTGTTTTTTTTGTCAGGCAAAGCGTCTGAAGACCATCATGGTTGCTGCAGCTGAACTGGCTGCTTTGCGCCTAAAAGATTTTCCAAGTGCAAATCATAAAGGGACCGGGTTTGATCAGAGGGATAGAGTATTTCGCCTTCTTGACAAGAATGGAGACGGTAAAATAAGCATTGAGGAACTTACAGAGGTGATAGAGGAGCTTGGTGCACCAGGAGAAGATGCACACGACATGATGCTGCTCCTTGACTCAAACAGTGATGGCTCTCTCAGCTCTGATGAATTCCATACGTTCCAAAAACAGGTGATTTGAATTTTGAAGTCTTGCCAAGGATATCTGATGTTTGATTTTCCCTTTCTTGTTTTCTTCATCTTAATGTTTTTTTTTTCCTCTTCAGAAATTACAGCTATGCATAATTTCTTAATGAACTAGTTATCTGATTACAAAAGCATACTTGAACTAGATTTTCATGTCAATAAAGGATATAGCTGGATGAATATCTTGTATCGTGAGTTGTAACTCTAGTGGTATCTGGTTTTGTAGGTTGAGATGGTGCGAAATTTAGAGGACAGAGATGACGAGTACAAGAAAATACTGGATGAGAAGCTTCATATGGCAGATGAAAGTGGTTTAATTCAGGTTTTTAATAAGGAGTTTGGAAACAGGCTTGTGAGTCAATGATGCATCTAATTGAAACGAACAACGAACAAAACACTCGTAAACTCCACTTGTCGTGAGATTTGCCTTCCATGGATTCCCTTTATAGACCCTTACCCTCAGCCTATCCTCATAGGAAGTGAAAATAGACATTTAGCTAGAACCATTTGTAAAGAGGTATATTTTCCATGTAAATTATTTGCATAGTGAAATTCCATTGATCAAAATATTGTCTCCGATTTGGTTCTATAATTTTGTCAAACTCATTGGTGCTAAAAGTCTAGTAAATGCATCTAGTTATATCAAACATGTTCAAAAGCACTCATTGTGTTGAAATAAAATCATATTAAACAGTCTGAGTGAGCATCCTAACTTTTCTGAGATGCTAGTTGATTATTCAAAGTTTTACTCTGTCCTTATTTGATAATTAAATTTTGATCCATGCCATAGAGATTTGACAAAGTTTTATGTTGGTTGTTGACTATCTAACACAACCCTCTTATTTTATCTGAGTTTGGACTGGCTATGCATAGCAAAACTGATATAGGCAGGATTGTGATAGATTCTGACTAGTAATGATAGAGAAAGGGTAGAACAATATACATGAAAACAGTATGTTATTGCAGTTATATCAAGAATAACTTTCTGCATTAACAGTTACAAACTGGAACAGCAGTTACAACACATATAAATAACTGTAAGATTAAATACAACCACTAGGATTAGAGAGCCTAGTCTCTCCCAAACCAAACCAACCAAATAACAAATTGAATAAGAGATTTTCTCATTCTTTATTCTACTTATATACATGACATATAATTAAATAATTTGGGCCTAACTTATTGGGCCTTTGAGCCTACGCCTAACATACACATTAGTAATTGGAGGTCTACTAACAATACTCTCCTCCAAGAGTTTCACCTTGTCCTCAAGGTGAAAATCAGGAAATTGTTGATTGATGACCTCAAAAGTTTTCCATGTTGCTTCAAATTCTGGTAAGCCCTTCCATTGAATGAGCACCCCCACAACGTTGGCAGCATTAGTACTGACAGCCGGGAGCAATTGAGGTTCCACTTGAAGTTCTAAATCTTCTGACATCATAGGTGGTAATGGTTGAGGATTTGGGACTGGTGTGACAGCTTTCTTCAACAGTGAAACATGAAAGACGGGATGAATCTTAATTTCAGCAGGAAGGTCTAATGGATAGGCAACCAAACCGATGAGCTTAGTAATTTGATAAGGACCATATAAACGAGGACTAAGCTTTTCATTGATCTTCTTTGCCAAAGATTTGAGTCTATAAGGTTGCAATTTGAGATAAACCCAGTCCCCAACAACGAATGATACATCTCTCCGATGTTTATTGGTTTGAGTTTGTTGGTGCACAAAGAAGAGATGAAAGGAAAAAAATATATTAAATGATGGCTACAAAATAAGGAATAATGATTTACAATGAATTTACATTGAGCTACCTCACTAGGCTATTTATACACAAAACAAAATCCCAAATATCCTCTAACAAAGATATAAAAAGATATTCCTAAAATATAGATTAATATCCAAAATATATTCCTAAAATATAGATTAAATCTAACACCATCCCTTAATTTATATTTTATCCAAAACTGACAACATCAATTCCATCCCTCAAGCGAAGAAATTGATCAGTCTTGATAGCCTATGTTAGAACATCTGCCAGCTGCTTCTGGGTGCTACAGTGCACAACTTCTAATATTCCGCTCTGAACTTGATTCCTCAGAAAGTGATATTTGGTCTCAATATGCTTGCTTCTCCCATGCAGCACTGGGTTCTTGGAAAAATTGATTGCAGACTTGTTATCAATCACCAGCTTCAGAAGTTTGACTACTTCAATCTTCAAATCTTGCAACAAGTTCAGAATCCACACATCTTGACATGCAGTTAGAGCGACTGCAATATATTCAGCTTCACAGGTTGAAAGCACAACAACATGTTGCTTCTTGGAACACCAAGAAATAGGACCTCCCAGAAATTTGAATAAGTACCCAGAAGTACTTCTTCTGTCCACTCTATCTCCGCACCAATCAGAGTCTGAATAACTCAGTAGTTCTGATTCGATCTTTCTTCCAAACGAAAATAACACTCCATACTTCAGAGTTCCTTTTACATACCTCAAAATCCTGACAGCAGCTCGGTAATGAGACCACTTTGGTTTACTCATAAATCTGCTGACCATTCCAACTGCATAGCAAATATCAGGTCTGGTATTACACAAATACCTCAGAGAACCAACCATTTGTTTGAAGGTTGTAGCATCCACACCCTCTCCATCAGAATCAAAGTCCAACTTCTGATTTGTATCAGCAGGTGTGATAGCAACTTTGCAATTCTCTAGCTGAAATCTCTTCAGAAGCTCAAGTTCATACTTCATCTGATGCAAAATGATTCCTTTCTCAGAGTACATAAATTTCATCCCTAGAAAGAAACTCATTTTCCCAAGATCTGTCATCTCAAACGCATTCATCAGAACTTTCTTGAACTCAACTATCTCTTGTTCAGAACTTCTTGTGAGTAATATGTCATCAACATACAAACAAACCATAGTCATATTTGCTGAACATAAACACCATACTCCATCTCACACTTCTGAAACCCATGTTCCTTGAAAAACGAATCAATCTTCAAATTCCAAGCTCTGGACGCTTGCTTCAATCCATACAAGGCTTTGTGTAATTTGAACACCATCCCTTCCTGATTCTTTTTCTCAAATCCAGGAGGTTGTGATATGTATACCTCTTCTTGTAATGGACCATTCAGAAATGCAGATTTTACATCTAAATGCATCAGAGGCCAATTCCTGTTAGCAGCTATTGCAATCACTAGTCTGATTGTTTCATATCTCGATACAGGTGCAAACACTTCAAAGTAATCCAGCCCAGGTTTCTGTAGAAAGCCTCTTGCTACTAATCTTGCTTTGTGTTTTCCAATTGATCCATCTGACTTTAACTTTTGCTTGAAAACTCATCTGATGCTGATGGCTTTCTTGCCTTTTGTAAGTTCTGTCAGCTTCCAAGTCTTGTTTCTCTCTATAACATCAAGTTCTTCTTTCATGCCCTGTAACCAAACTTGCTGCTTAAGAGCCTCTTCCGTACTCACGGGTTCAGAGTCTAGTAACATTGCACACTGAATAACTTCTTCTTCAGAGTCTACTTCAGTGTCTTGCAACATGTCAAACTCTGCAAATCTTCTTGGGATGCTTCTGACTCTTTGTTGCCTATGAACTGGACCTTTAGAACTTTGGACACCAGAACTTTCCCCTTCAGAAGCACTTGCTTCAGAAATTGGACTTTATCCAGAACATTGACTGTCTTCAGAGTCCGGATCACCATCAGAGTCAGAAATCATCTTCTCCTTCTGTATCTTCTTCAGAGTCAGAATCATCTTCTCCTTCTGTATCTTCCTCAGAGTCAGAGTCTTTACCAACTTCAAAAATATTATTTCTGACTTTTCTTCAGGAGTTATCTCATCAGAGTCAGGACGAGACCTTTCCCAATTCCAAACTTATGATTCCTTTATAATGACGTCTCTGCTGAACTCAACTTTGTTAGTTTCTGGACAATAAAGTTTGTACGAACCTGTACTGTGGTACCCCACCAGCAACATCACTTTACTTCTATCATCCAACTTCTGTCTTCTGGCTTCTGGGACATGTTTGTAACATACAGAACCAAACACCTTCAGATGACTAACATTTTGCTTATCTCCATCCACTTCTGAATATGAACTATTTCCTTCAATTTCTTCGTTGGACATCTGTTGAGCACATAACATGCAGTTGCAACAACTTCTCCCCACAGAGTATGAGGAAGCTTCTTCTCTTTTAGCATGCTTCTCACCATATCAAGCAAAGTACTGTTTCTTCTTTCAGCAAGACCATTGTGTTGAGGAGTATAGGGAGCAGTAACCTCATGCTCAATTCCATTCTCCTCACCGAACCTTCTGAATTCTGTGGAGTTATACTCACCACCACCATCAGTTCTAAGAATCTTCAGAGTCTGGCCACTTTGATTCTCAACCTTCAGTCTGAACTTCTTGAATTCAGCAAACATCTCGTGTTTGAACTTTATGAGTGATACCCATGTCATTCTGGTGAACTCATCAACAAATGACACAAAATATTTATTCCCTCCAATCGATGCTACTGGAAATAGACCGCACACATCAAAATGCACTACTTCCAAGACATGCTTTGCTCTTGGAGCTACTTCTGATGCAAATGGTAATCTTGGTTGCTTCCCTTCCATGCACACCTTGCATGACTTCTCAGGCTTCTTGATTGTAGGAATTTCATGTACCAACTTCTTTGATTTCAGATGCCCTAAGCTTCTGAAATTCAGATGACCAAATCTTCTGTGCCACAGCTCACTCTCTTTGACAACACTTGTTGCACTAAGACATTCAGAGTCTGCAGTTGTAACATTCACCTTGAATGTTCTGTTCCTTTCCTGTTCCGACTCCATAATCAGCTTCTGATTACAGTCATACAGCTTCAGAAGATTGTCCTTCATGGTAACTGAAAAACCTTTCTCAATCAGTTGTCTCACACTCATCAGATTACTTTTCATGCCCAGTACATACCATACATTCTGGATCACTGCTGCTTTCCCATTGTTTAGAATGATTCTGACATTTCCCATACCTTCTGCATTGAGGTATTTATCATCAGCACATCTGATCTTTGTACTCTCCCCAGAGTCAAAATCAACCAACCATTTCTTGTTTCCAGTAAGATGGTTTGAACACCTTGTATCCATATACCACCATTCTGATGAATTCAGATCATCAGGTTCAAAAACCAACAATAGCACAGGTTCATCATCTGACTCTCCTATGGCTATATTTGCTTCTTCTGACTTCCTTTCTTTGTTTGACCAGCAATCTTTGGCATAGTGACCAAAGTTCTTGCAACAGTAACACTGAACATTCTTCTTGTCAGACTTCTCCTTTCCCTTCTGGACATTCTTCTGCCTATCAGAGTTTGAAGCTTCTGACCTTTGACCACCCTTAGTTTTCTTCCTGGCTTCTGACCAAGTCTGCTTCTGATACTTCTTACCAAAAGTTACTTTCAGAGCCTGCTGCTCTACTTCCCTCTCAGAAGTTCTCACAGTCATACGCAACTCATGCGCCTCTAGACTACTTTGCAGCTCTTCAACTCTCATGGTGCTCGGATCTTTGGAATATTCAATTGCTACCACAATATAATCAAACTGAGAAGTTAAAGATCTCAAGATCTTCTCAATGATTATTTGTTCAGAAAGAGTTTCTCCACAAGCTTTCATCTCATTAATGATCAAAATCACTCTAGAGATGTACTCAGAAACCTTCTCGTTGTCCTTCATGTTGAGATTCTCATATTGTTTTCTGAGAGACTGAAGCTTCACCTTCTTCACTGATGCGTCACCACCGTAACATCTGACCAGTGTGTCCCATGCAGCCTTTACTGTTTCAGAATCAGCAATCTTCTCAAACACATTTGCATCCACACATTGATGGATATAGAACAACGCCTTCTGATCTTTCTTCCTTAGCGCATTCTGTGTTATCTTCTGTGCCTCTGCTTCTAACAGATCATAGCCACAGGTGACAAGATCTAACACATCTTGAGAACTAAATAACACGCGCATCTGGATCTTCCAACGATTCCAGTTTTTGCCATCAAATACTGGAAGCTTGGAATGGACATTGCTGCCGTTTCCGTTCATCTTCTACCTTGTGCAATTTACACAGAAACTCAATAAAACAGTGTTTCCCAAATCCCCAGAATCAGAAACAACGATTATCACACAACACCTCACTGTTCTCTCGTGTTTCCCGTTTTCCCGTGGATTTCGAACCGGAGCTCTAGATACCAATTGTTGGTGCACAATGAAGAGATGAAAGGCAAAAGAATATATTAAATGACGGCTACAAAATAAGGAATAATGATTTACAATGAATTTACATTGAGCTACCTCACTAGGCTATTTATACACAAAATAAAATCCTAAATATCCTCTAACAAAGATATAAAAAGATATAATAATATCCTCTAAAAAGATATTCCTAAAATATAGATTAATATCCAAAATATATTCCTAAAATATAGATTAATATCCAAAATATATTCCTAAAATATAGATTAAATCTAACAGAGTTTTCATTCGGTTTTGGGCTTTGGCAAGTTAGAATGAAGATCATTCAGAATGATGTCGCGTTCTTGAGTCAACCGGTTAATTTCCTCCACTGCTGAAGGAACAGTGGTACCGTTAACCAATTGTGGTGGATCACGGCCGTATAAAGCTTTGAAAGGAGTGGTCTTGGTTGAGTTGTTGTAATTGGAATTAAACCAAAATTCTGCCCAACCCAGCCACTTGACCCATTGCCGTGGTTTGTGCCCGGTTAAGCATCTCAAATAGGTCTCCAAGTACCGATTTGTTATCTCAGTTCGGCCATCTGTTTGAGGGTGATAAGCTGTACTGAACTCCAATTTGGTACCAGTCATTTTGAATAATTCTGTTCAGAAATGACTCAGAAAAATCTTGTCCCGATCAGAGACTATGGTAGAAGGAAAACCATGAAATCGAACATTGCAGGAAGATTTCAGCTACTGACCTCGCATTAAAAGGATGGCTAAGAGGCAAAAAAATAAGCATATTTAGTGAATCTGTCAACCACCACTGAGATAACATCCTTACCTTGACTTTTGGGAAGCCCTTTCGATAAAATCCATTGATATATCGACTCAAACTTGAGAGGGGATTGGAAGTGGTTGGAGAAGACCAACAGGGGATAAGGTTTGGTATTTATTTTGTTGGCAAATAGATTCTGAATATCTTTCTTTATCCTTTCTCAATAAACCAAGGCACCTAACCGTTTATAAGAGCGGAAAAATTCTGAATGATCACCTACTGCTGAAGAATGGTATTCATTTAGTAGTGTGGGAATTTTGGAAGAACTCCGGGGTAAGACTAACTTGCCTTTGTAGAATAGCTTCCAATTTTGGAAGGTATAGTTTGGGTGAGTACTGGAATCCTGCAACAGGTCATGAATTATGCCTTGGAGTTTAGAACCAGCCAATAACTCTGCTTCCCATTCTTCCAAATCAGTGAAGTGTATCACAGAAACTGCAGCATAAGTCATGCAACGGGATAGAGCATCGGCTGCTTGGTTATCATCACCGGGTTTGTAAACAATATCGAAATCAAAGCCCATTAATTTAGAAATCTATTTGAATTAGTCATCACCCAAAATGCGCTAGTCAGTGAGGAACTTCAAACTTTTCTGGTCAGTGTGAATAATAAAATGGCGTCCCATCAAGTAATGTCTCCATTTCTGAACCGCCATGACAATAGCCATAAGTTCTCGCTCATAGACAGATTTTCGTTGTGCCCGGTCAGATAAAGGCCTCCAATTACTAATGTGTATGTTAGGCGTAGACCCAAAGGCCCAGTAAGTTAGGCCCAAATTATTTAATTATATGTCATGTATATAAGTAGAATAAAGAATGAGAAAGTCTCTCATTCAATTTGTTATTTGGTTGGTTTGGTTTGGGAGAAACTAGGCTCTCTAATCCTAGTGGTTGTATTTAATCTTACAGTTATTTATATGTGTTGTAACTGCTGTTACAGTTTGTAACCGTTAATGCAGGAAGTTATTCCTGATATAACTGCAATAACATACTGTATTCATGTATATTGTTCTACCCTTTCTCTATCATTACTAGTCAGAATCTATCAGATTGTTATTTGATAATTAAGTTCAGAGATAGAATTCTGTGATAAACTAAAGATTTGGAAAACAACACTGAAGCTGATGCAAGAAAATATATCTAATTTCAAGATCATTGAAACTTAGCTTTTACATAAAGATGTTCATGGTTCAACTGTTTAATTGATTGCTATATTCAAAACTGGGACTACTGCTCTACAACATATTACTACCTTTGTTTCTTTATATAAGAAGAAAAGTCACAGTGACTGGTAAGATCAACGAATGCCACAATTTCGATGTGTCATTCAAAAAATTTTCACTTCTGAGCTCACTAGTGCTTTCCTTGGGAAACCCCAAGATCATTTAATAGTTTCTTGCATAACTGCACCACATGAAAAATATTTAGGCATCAGGGTCTGATTTTTCAGATAAGAATACCTTGTGTGTGTGTGTGTGAGAGAGAGAGTATAAATACCTGTCTATATACAGAAGCATCTCCATAACACTTTCTTATCTCTACTACATACAACGATGAACTTATTTCAAAAACCTGCTATAATTGAAGAGGTAAAGTTAGTTTCTTAATACATGCAGACTACGCAAATATGTAGTCGCAAACATCAATTACATCGACTACCTCTATTGTCACCGAGAGGCTGCCAGGGGTTTTATGCTCCTTATTTTCTCGTATCACTTTTATCTGAAATGTTAATTTAATTATTGGTCAAACTAGACTAACATGACTTTACATGCAGGTTTGTAGCAAATAGATAGAAATAGCTTTTCTAAACATCGACAGTAATACTAACTTTGCCGTTTTTCTTTTGAACTCTATATTCCGTTTCTGTCATGGAATCTTCAATCTTCTTCGTCAGATCTTTGGCTGACAGGTTAGTTGTAAACCTTATCTTCCTCTCGGATACTTCCTGTAACTCAAACCACATAGTATGTAAAAAAATGAGTGAAATTTTCTCAGGAAGTGGTGAAAAATTGTGTTCAAAATATATAACAGCGTAAATTTCCTGCTAAGTTACTTGAATTCTCACCTCGTTCTCAAATAATCCAGACAGGTCTAGGCTTGAAGACATCCCTATCAACTGAAATGCATTGATACAGATTGGAGATTCCGAACTCTTTTTTTCTTCTTCATTTGTCTGTGACCAAGAGAATAATATTGATTTACAACGAAGAAAAAGGCAAAGTTGACATTTGAAAGAAGTTAAATTTCAGATACAGTGCGTGTATGGAAATTTGAAGAAATCACAGTAATGTCATGTTTTTGTCGAGATTTCAAAGTATAATTTTGATCAAAATCACGGTAGCACACCTTGATTCTGTCAAATCTATTGTCGTGGACACACAATTATTAGTTCAGACATATACCAATTCGTTGACGGAAAAAGCTTGATTGTCAACATATACATCTTCGTCCTCGTCCTCAGGATCTGCTTGATTATATCCTTCCTTGAACCACAAGTCTTCTTTGATCCCCGCCATTGTTATTCTGGTTTCAGGGTTTGGATCAAGAATCCTCTTTATAATGTTTTGTGCACCAGATGATAACCATTTCGCTATCTGACAATCTCCTTTCGAAACCTGTTACACCACAAGAGAATAAAAATCAAGAACAAGTATAATAAACTAGCATCATAAACCTAGTAGGTAATGTATAACAAGAATTTGCGACATCTGATCTGAATAATACCTTCTGATAGAGAACTGCAAGATTTCTATCATCAAAAGGTAGATATCCTGTTAGAACTACATACAAGATAACACCACATGACCATACATCTGATGATGCACCATTATAGCCCCTATTAGCAAGAATCTCCGGTGCAACATAATTTGGACTTCCACATGTTGTATGCAACAACCCATCTTCCTAAAGATTTTCATACAGTTTAATATCACATAAGCCAATAACAAAATGTTATAGACGAAACCGTCATTTTAGCTCTCAAAGTATATATCTGACCCTAAATTGTTGGTGTAAAGCACTAAGGCCAAAATCAGTTATCTTCAAATTTCCTTTGGCATCCACAAGTACATTCTCAAGCTGCAAGAAGATAATAGCATCATCACCATTTAATGCAATTTCAACTTCTGTAAATAAGCTCAAATGAATCGGAAAAAACCTTGATATCTCTATGGAAGACACCTTTGCTGTGGCAGTAGCTGACACCATCAATCAACTGCTGGAACAACTTTCTACCTTCAGTTTCATTAAGTTTACCCTTGGAAGCCTATGAATACAATTAACCTCATTAAATGTCATCAACTGAATCACAGACATTACCAAGAAGCAAATGTTACTACTTACAATTTTGTGAAATAACTCTTGTCCTGTCACATACTCAAGTACCATGCAAATTTTTGTTTTACTAGCCAATACCTATATGTAAATCATAATCATAATAATATATAGTAAGAAACATCAATTATAACAATTATAATGCAAATTGATATGAAGAAACTCAGTAGCTATGAAACACAGACACCGAAAATACGACACTGACACTAAATATATATCAGATGAGAGCAATAGTGATTGATATACTAATGGTGGGACCAACATAACATGGTTATGTAGTACTCTCTCTGTCTCAAAATAATTGTCCTTCTAACCTCAAAAAGTTGTCTCAAAATAATAGTCTTTTTATTTTTCAAATGCAATTATAATTAACTCTTATCAATTTTATCCCTTCTATACACACTTTTCAAGTATGACCCAACCAATAATAATAAATAGTAATTTTGTAAAAATATTACTTTTATTGACTCAATCATTACTTTTCTTAATCTCCATGTAATAACCTTAAAATACTACTCTCTCCGTCCTTAAAATTGTGACACAGATTAAAAAAAGTAACGAGTGAAACAAAATTGTCCTTAATGATTATTAATTACTTTTACATTATCATAAAAGTAAAGTGAAATTTAATGTTACAATGAGAGTACTGCTAACATTTATTTTGGAACACATTTTTTAGGTTGAAGAGACAATTATTTTGGGATAGAGTGAGTATTATTTTGAGACGGATGCATGAAGAGGGCGTAGTAGAGGCATAATCTGAATGATTGATTATAATAAAGTGCAGTGGAAGCCAGAATTCATAGAAATTATTACATTTGAATTGAAGCAGATAAGTAACATCAAAATATAGTGGTCAACAAACAACACTGCATCAAAAAACGTAGTATGTTACAAAGCAAAAGGATTGGTAACGTGATTTGATTTGATTTCTTATCCTCACGCTGTTTCATTATGAGCAAACAAAAATGATTATATTTAGTTTCAAAAAGACACAAAACTCCCACCAAACAGGATGTCCTAGGTTTGATATGCAACAAAACAACGTTTTTTTTTTGACAAAATGTTTCTACAAGCTTAGTTGGATTCGTTGATTTGATTTGTTTCATCACCCATACTCAATCATATTAAAATATCATATAATATATTCAAATTTAATAAAATTCAACAATTATTTTAAAACATAAAAATTGTAAGAAAATAAATAAATTTAAATTAATAAATGAGTCGAGATTATGAATTGGCTCACAAAGTAAACAGAATTATAATAATAATTAAATTCAAATAAAATGGGACTAAAACATTCCATAAAATAATTAGAAGAATTTGTCAAAGGGAAAGAACATAAATAACTAATTATGGGGATTAACCTCTTTTTATATTTCATCCATTGACATTTTTCGGATCGTAGCCTCGGTGTTGTTGTCAATTAAATTAAATCTATAAAAACTAGACCAAAATATAATAATTTTAATGTTTAAAACTTCCACTCACGTTCTCAATAATATAAACATTTATAAACAACCTCCATAACCTGTTGTAACAACTTTGGATAAAGATCTGTGTAGAATAATACATATTATACTATATCTTAATGTGAGAGCACGCGTGCATTACCTTTTCTAAAATATATATAATCTTGAAACTTTTTTATTATGTCATTTTAAGAAAAATATCTATATCAATTTATAATATTAATAAATCGTTAATGTTATTTTTTGTTATATATATTAAAAATTTTTAATTTATCTTTTTTAAATAATTTTTTTTAATAAACAATTTATGTCTAATAGGATTTGAACTTTTAGAGTGTGTATACTCAAGTATTTCACACACATGCATACTATTCATATAATTATTAAAAAGATACTTTTTTTTAAAATTATTTATTATTAGTTTTTATACAATTAATTTGTAATATTCGTAAAATAATAAAAAACGAAGAATAAGAAAATTATTACCTCATATAATTTAACAACATTGGGATGCCTTAGAAGCTTTAAGGCACTTATTTCCCTCTTTATCTGCAATTTTCACAACCATTCATCAGATTACATAGTTAAAACGAAAGGGACATTTTTGGTCCTATTGTATAAAATTTGAGTAAGCCTAGGCAAGTTCATTGAACTCTGACCTTATTTATGGTATTTTAATTCAACTAATGTCTTTCTTAAGAGTTAATAAAAATAGTTTAGCAAATAAAATTTAATTTATTATCATAATCAATAATAATAATAATAATAATCTTTAAAATGTACAAAATTTAATGAAGTTATAGGGAATAACAATTAGGTTGGACCATCCTAAGCATTTATACACTTGGACTTTTAGGTGACAGTTCATCCATTTAATAAATACAGACAAATATGACAACTAAATCTGTAATTTTATTCTCTTAAAATTACTAATATTTAATAAATATAAAATTAATGAAATAAACAGGAACTATTTTACATGAAGCTGTAAAACCAAATCCTTGAATCAATAGTATAATTATATGAAATTAATAAACTAGATGGATTTCTGAGTTAGGAGTCATAAACATTAGTAATAAGTTTTGTATGATGATTAAAATCTTGAGTGGGAAACAAAAAAAAGGGCAGAATGAAAGTGAGAGAAGAATAAAAAAAAAGCATTTGAAACAAACCTGGTTGGTAATATTGAGATCAATGATCTTGTTCTTGTCAACAATCTTAATAGCATAAGGTTGTTGAGAATCAGTGTTCCTAGCAAACTTTACTTTACCGAAATTGCCCTCACCAAGAGTCCTACCCAATTCATATTTCCCTAGTCTCACTCCTTCATTTTCCAACTTGTTAATCTGCTTCTTTCCAAGGTTCAATATCACCATTTTTGTGTCTTCTTTTTAGTGACAGTGAATCCGTGGCTATAGTACTATTCTCTTTTCAATGTGTAAGTAACACATGAGATAGTAGTAGAAGGCTAGATAAGACGACGGTTAAGATATGAAATAGCAACAGTATCTGATTTAGAAGAAGGGAACTAGCATAGATGAAATGGAGATTAAAAGAGAATGCTACACCATTCTCTTTGCATATCTGAGTTGTCAGCCACTCTTATAAATACTTCCAAAACTCACTATCGACTCACCTTTTAATTATTTTCAAGTCTTACATATATATATATATATATATATATATATATATATATATATATATATATATATATATATATATATATATATATATATATATATATATATATATATATAATTGATCATTATTATTCTATAATATTAGTTTTAGTGTTTTGGATCGGCCAAATGTTCAATGCACGAGCCCAATCATGCATGATCTAAGTAAATTGATCTAATGTATATAGTTATCACACGTGAGATTCAAGATACATTTTTTTTATCTTTATTTTTATTATACTCATCTTGGGCTCTGTAATTGTGATGATTTATCGACAAGTGTATCAATAGTGTCGGAGTAATAAAATAAGATCATATTCACACGGACTGATATTAACAAAATAATAGTCGTGCAAGTTTAAAAAGTAACAATTACAAGGATTTTTAAGTTTGATTTTGAAAATTAAAAGTTTTTATGAAAAAAATACGAAAGCGGTCAGGTTTTACATATAATCCCTTATTTCTCCCGTGTTGATGTTTAATGCACAACATGAATGATGAAGTCGTTATATTTCCACGACGAATTAACAAAATTATTCTGGAATGGGCCGACACTTGCCCCACTGTTGGGGAGGCCCAATCCAACGCCTTTACCAAAGGTCCAAAAGTATGCAGTCCAAACTGAGGACCGTTGGACATTTTCCCACGTGTCCACTAGGAGAACGTAGCTCACATGTCCATATCATCATCATTCTGCCCTCTGAGAATAACGGATCCAACCCCCGCTTTCTCGGGACAGTTAACTAGGAAGGAGGCCACATGCTGGACTCCATACACCCGTAAACTCTGGCAGTCTTTGTTGTTGGGCCTCATTGTGATCCATCACTGAAGACCTTGGTCCAGCGCTGGGGGCTATAAATACCCTCTCATTTGAGAGAGTCAGGTATTTAATCACTCACTCATCCTCTCATACTTGCTTGCATTTGCTCTGAACCTTACTTTAGCATCGAAGTATCTTGCAGGTACCTCCCCTTCACATTCAACTGTCACTCAACTTGAAGCTTGTGGCCTTTGACAATCCCTCCTGATTAGGTACGATCAGTGGCGCCGTCTGTGAGAATCTTGCTTCCTTGTCTCCCTCTCAAGACCAAATCAACTCTTCATTAAACTGTACGATCGTCATGGCCGACCAAGCTATCGACGATAACCAAAACGCCCATCTCGCTGACTCCAATAACAACAATGTTGGCGACAAAAACGTTCGTAACAGCAATGCAGATAACAACAACGACATGGCTGGTCCCGAGCAAGACTACAGAGACGGACTGACCGCTTCTTCATCAACCCGCTCGCAACCACGCGAGGACGACTATCATCCTCCACAGAACTATGAACCCAATACATACCAGAAAATCCCCGTCCCTATAGGTGCTGACGCCACAACCAAAGCTCTGTTCGCGACAATCAACCAGACCAACTATATGATCTTCTCACAGGGTGAGTGACTGATGATGCTCGAGCCGACTCGGAAGGCCCCCAGAAGACAGAGGAGACCTGACACACCTCTTCCTCCCTGATGGATCGAGAACCTTCCTCGATCTCCCCCGCAGAGATACAGTTTGGACGTCTCGCGAAGCCCTTCTCCCTGACGAACTAGACGAGGCCTCGTGTTGGACATGAGTTATCCCGAAGCTGTGAGGAAGTGCAGATACACCCCCTGCGATGGAACGACGATACCCTGAACATAAAAGAAATATGGGAAGTGAAGAAAGATAGTCTCGGCTAAGGGATCCTTCATGTGGCCAAGGCCGTCACAACGACCGCCGTTACAACCGGTCCCCCTCCCGCTCTCCAGACAAAAGCGACGGAGACAACCCCCACGGTCCATTATCCCAAGATATCATGGAGGCTCCCATTCCTAAGGAAATGGAGAAACCTCCCCTACTAAAGGAGTACAACAGCATTGCTAATTGTGTCGACCATATCAATGGGTTTGAAGCAATGCTCCACTACGACAACATCGGGGGCCTAATTAAATGCAGGTTGTTCCCCATGACACTGAGAAAAACAACCATGGATTGGTACAAGAACCTCTCCCTCGGGTCGATCGCCTCCTGGAGAAGCCTCAAAAACCAGTTCATCAGCAGCTTCACCGTGTCTTGTCGACATCCAAAAACTGAGGTCTCCCTTGAGGCAATCGTCCAGAGAAGTGACGAGACCCTCAGGGAATACATTGATCGGTTCAACTGCGAGGCCATTCAGGTCTCGTGCACCGATCACATGAAAAGATACCTGCTCGAGAGAGGGCTCCTTCGGGAACTCAATTTAGAAAGGCCGTTGGCATTGAGCCCCCCAGGTCTTTCGAAGTTCTCCTCGAAAAGGCCTGAGCATACATGGAATACGAGGAGAAAGAAGCAACCAATGGATCCTACAATTCGAGGAACTGTGGACCAGCAAACATCCTGCAACACCAGGATGTGGGCCCTTCTCGACGGACAGGAGAGAAGAGAATGGAGGAGAAACTGCACGATCCCCGCGAGCATAGAGGACCAGCAGGATAGTTCACAGAGTACACCCCACTGACCACTTCCCATGAGCGTATCTTTGCGGAGTGCTCTAATACCGGGTTCAAGGACGACAACATCAGACGTCCTCAACCCGCCCCTGCAAAGCCCGAGGCAGACATAACAAAATACTGTCAGTACCATCGGAGCCATAAGCACTTGATAGAAGACTGCGTCCACCTCAAGGATGCCATCAAGACTCTCATAAAGGGTGGGAGACTCGGGCAGTACAAATGAAATGACGCCTCTCATCGGGATACTCGTGAGGTAAAAGAAATCAAGGAAGAAACCCAACCATCTGATGAATTGGGTCCCCTCCAGGTGGATTTCTCTGTCACGGGGCCCGAGGACTTCCTTGTCCCCGACATCTACGAAGATGAACCTTTGTCCACACACAGTAGATGGAAGAAATTCCACTCCTCCATGATGAACAAAGTCTTCCACGACGAGATTTAAGACATGCTCGAGGTATACATGGACGACATGTTCGTCAAATCTCAAATAGAAACCAACCATGCTGCCCACCTCAAAAGATTCTTCGCCCAAGCAAGGCAATCCAAAATGAGATTCAACCCATTGAAATGCACCTCCGAGGTCAAATTGGAAAAATTCCTCGGTTTCTATCTAACTGAATGAGGAATTAAAGCCAACCCCGAAAAATGTCGAGACTTCTCCAAGCTTCTCACGCCAAACTCAAAAAAATCCATACAAGTCCTAAACGACATGCTCACCTCCCTTTCCTGTTTTATGGCGAAGTCTGCGTAACATGCACTACCATTTTTTAAACTCATGCACAAAGAAGGATCTTTCGAGTGGACCGAGGAGTGCAAACAAGCCCTCATCCACCTCAAGCAAAGCCTTTCACAACTGTACGTGTTATCACGGCCACAGAACAGGGAAACATTGTTCCTTTATCCGACCGTCTCCACCGAAGCCGTAAGCGCAAACCTCATTCACGAGACATTAGACAGGAAGAAACTAGTATACTTTACGAGCAAAACGTTACAAGGTCCCGAGGTCAGGTATCAACAGATTGAAAAAGTAGCCTTAGCCCTCATCAACGCAGCGAGGAGACTTAGATATTACTTCCTAGCCCACACGGTCGTCGTACGAATAGACCAGCCCATCAGACAACTTCTAGGTCGATCAGACATGGCCGATCGAATGCTGAAATGGTCCATAGAGCTCTCGGAGTTTGATGTTCAATATGAGAGCAGGAAAGCCCTAAAAGCCCAAGCATTGGCCGAATTTGTCGCAGAGATGATTGTGATACAGTGGGAGAACTGACTTGAGGTTTTTGCATTTGTGTTTGCAAATGTTGCGGTTTAGCAAGAGTTGCCACCGACTTTTCTTTTATCCAAAAAGGAAAGGTGAAAAAGAACAGGAAAGACCTTTAGAGATGTTTTTAAGTTCGGGGGGTAGATTATGAAAAGGGAAGGTATTAACACCCTTTTCATCCATGGTTTTCCATGGGCTCTTAGTTACTCGCTAGATCACTTGCTTTTGTTTGAATGGGCTTGTGGTGTGTGTTTTTGAAAGTACTTTGAAAATGTCTTTGTAACGGTTCTCGTCTCTATAAGAACGCGTACAAAGTGTTTGTTTGGAAAATAGTTCAAAGATGAAAGTGTAAGTGTAAAAAATGTTTTGTTGTGAGCAAGCGAGTAACTGAGAGCGAACCTACCTACTCGAAAGGTCTTAGATATGCTTTTCCTCTTACTTTAGATGTTGCTACTTTACCATTGATTTGGTAGGAAGTCCCACCATTGGATGTAAAGGGACGGGCATTTGGGTCATCGTGTGACCATGATAGCAATGTTGTGAGACGGCTTAGCATTTTTCTTTAGGGACTAAGATCATTTTGAAAGGCAACTTTGATAGCATCATCGAGGGACTATGATCTTATATTTCGATTGTTTTTGCTAATGTGATCGGTGGATCTGGAACTGACTGTTTAACGTTGGTTCGCGAAATATCGCGGAAGCAAGAGTCGCCGCCGTCTTTTATTTTCTCCAACATGGACAGGACAAAAGCACAACAAAATTCCTTATGAGATAATTTCTCGGTTCGGGAGGTAGATTTATAGAAAGGGAAGGTGTTAGCACCATTTCTATCCATGGTTATACATGGGCTCTTAGATACTTGCTCATTGTATTTTCAAAAGTGTTTGCTTTTCAAAGTGTGAGTGGGTTTGAA